CTACTTTGCAATCTTCACAGGACATTTTTTACCAATTTGGATCTCATCTAAATCTGATGCTTTGCCTCGACCATATACTTTCGACTCGCCCGAAGCACAAATGAAAAGCGGAGTTTATGGCATCAAGCAGGGGTTCTTCGTTCCGTTGTGCGCTAACTTGAAAATACGTTGCAATGTGACTTTTACCCCCGCTACAAGAAAACTAATGCAAGCTCATTGGTGCGTTTGGGATATCACCGTAGTCTTGTTGGTGGTACTTCAGCCAGACCGACCCTTCCATTTGCTGACTTGCTAATTGAACACTTGACGTATTCGTCCATGCCAAACCAATCATATCCGCTAAATGTTCGAGTGCTTCCGACTTTTCATGCAGCTGCCGAAATTTGCCCGGATCCACCAACAACAAGATATTTCCTACAACAAGAGACATAATCTCTATCAAAAGCTCAAGAAATGCCTCCGACTTAAACAAAGTCTTGCTGGGCTTGATGTCCCGAATTAGGTGCTTTCGTATGTGGCCGCATTAATTCATTTTGGTTTTCTCACATCCGCACTGCGTTTTACACCGGTGTTGGATATCTGAGGGATGCATGTGTTTCGTGTGCATATTTGTTGTGTATCGTTACATACCTACTCTCTAGCATCCCACTTTTAGTGGAAGGGCGTGAGAGGCGAACATTGGATCGCGAGTTGGTGTGGTATGTCATAGTGTGTATTTTTTTCCAATTTTTTGAGCCTAATTACATTTAAACATAATAGCATATACTGTACAAAATACAAGAATATGTATAGTTCGTTTGGAGAAAACACGAGGGTCGGCTTTGGCGATTTTGCGGCTCAAGAGTGTCGACCCTGACGGCCACGGCCGGTGACGCCGGCAACCACGACCGTCTGGCACACCTGAGGCGACGGTCTAGCTAGCAGCTGCGTCGTAGTTGCGTGAAGGTTGCACTCCATGTGGGCACATGAAACCCGATCAGTTGACTCCTGAAATCAATCAATCAATCAACCACCCCTGGCCTAAACTCTCGGTCGCCAGCCAGTCCGGGGTGTTTGGGAGTAGGCCAGTTCCTGTTCTCCCTCCCTCCCCTTTTTGGGGTCGCTCCGGGGGAGAGGCCGAAGGCCCGAAGGCTTCGAAACCCGCACGGCACGGATGTTCGGTGACGCCGGAGACGTCGCCAACGGTCGCCTGTGGTGAAGAGCACCAGGAGATTCCTTCCAGGAGCCCTCAAAACCATGAAAAACAAAGGTTTTCACATGCAAAAACAATGTTTTTTGCTAGGGAAAACCAGGTTTTTGATGGTTTGTGGGGCCCCTGGTTGGTGGTATGATTGGTTTCAACAACATGTTGTTTCTTTTGGAGTTGTGACGCTTCTCTGAAGAGGAATTCTTTCTGAGCAAAGATAGGCAAAGTTTGGGGTTCTTCCGGTTGTCCATTCACCGAGCAAAAGGGGGCACATTGTAATGTAGACTCTTGATTAGTAAACCCTCCCATATGAAGAGGTTGGTTTTCAATCCAAATGGGTGGGTTTATTCATTGAGCATGTTTCTTTTTAGGTCCATTCGAGGACAGGGGGAGACAAGGCAGCTGGAGTTTGAAAGATCTTGGGGGGCCGGGGGGGACCACATGGGCGTGGTGATGCGTGGTGCGACCTACCTACCATTCAGGAGATGGCCTAACCGATTGGCTCAAATGATTTTGGTGAGTTCATTTTTGAGACTTACATCCAAGAACCCAAAACCGACAATCCAATTCGATGCACGGAAGCCTGGGCGTGTTCGTTAAACCAAAAAAACCGTTCTTCGGGACCTGTTTGGAGAAAAAGCCACTCACCCCCCGAACGTGGCCACGACATCCGAGACTGAAGCCTGGGCTGTCATGGTCAGACCAGTGAACGTGCTCCTCGGAATCGACCATCAGTCGGGGTGGAGACCCCACAGGGTCGCTCCCACCCTCACCATCCCCCACCATGGCCCGTGGCACGGCCGGCGCGGCGCTCGGCCGGCGCTCCGCGCAGGCGAGTGCACGGCCGAGTGCACGATGGCGGCGTGCGAGCCGCGCTGCCGACGGGAGCAATGGCCCGGTGGGAGGAGCACTGGGGCGGTACTACAATTTTCACGTTCGTGGTTGTCAAGCTTAAATGAACTTCCATTGTCGTAGCCCCAAACTCTTGCCGAGATTACTGTAAGTTAGTTGTGACCGCTGCGGAAATTTCAAGTCAGCACCACAAACTGTTCCGGTGCTTCTCAAACAATTAGTTCATTTCTTTGGTGCTGCAACCCCTTCGTTGGTGAAGTTTTGGACTTCTTTGCCCAAGGCATAGCCCTCCTTTGAGGCTTTTGCCAAGACCATTTCTTCTTTTGACAGACCGCTTTCCAAATTGGGTTGAAAAATGCTAGATGTTGTCCATCGGACGCAACTGAACACACCTCTCTTCTGTGGCTGTGCCAGAGGCAGGGACTTTTTGCATGCTGCACATGGAAAAGACACGTCGTGCGGTCCTTCTTCAACCAACCAGATTCCCATCAAAGACAGCACCATGTTCCCGGGCGATCGCCTTCAGAACTATGGATACTATGGATACTATGCATGGCAGTGAGAAAATCGCACGAACATCGACGAACCAATTTCCGCCTATCTGCTACGGAGTGATGCTTCCAGTCATTCTCAACAGAGAGTTATGGAGCACTCCAAACAAAGGATCCAGCTCAAATCTATTTTAGGATTGACTCATGATGTACCTGCTTGAGAATGACTCCGGTAACTTCTTGTGAGCCACTAGTCACGTACTACACGCCCCAAGAAGCAACCTCGAGTTTTCGGACCCTTTGATATCTTCTTCTCTGACACTCCAGGTCAATCTGCATCAAGCCTCTCAAACCAACCAACCACACGGAGTTGGAAGAAATGGAACTATCTCCGGTCGCACCTTTCTTCTTGGTCCAGTTCGTGGGTCTGCCGTCGGCCCGGCGGCGGTCTTGTGGTCAGACTCACCTGTCGTTAGACCCGAGCTGCCCAACCCTGGGTTGCTCGAAGAGTGCGAACGGTGCAGCAGATGTGTGTTTCTTTTCGCAAGAAAGGCACTCATTTTAGTGGATCCAGGGTGTCAATTGGAACCTTGGAACCTTGGAACCAGGGTGTCAATTGGAACCTTGGAGCAGGTGGTTTTCAGTTGACTGGAGCCTTGGTAGATCCCAATGTTTTTGGAACGGCCTCTGCCGAATCGCCTCATGCGCTCTCTGCTCGCGGGTGAAGGAGAGTGAGTGGACTTCACCTTCGGATGGAGGTGGTCCGGGGTCGGGAGAATCACTCAGAGCAGAGAGGAATGGCACTCTCTCTCACCATGGGCAGGACCGCGACCGCTGTAGTCAGTCTTCATTCAACGCTTTATGTGATTGATCGTCCTTTTCACGTTCCCTCTGACTGTGTTGGGAATCGGCAGACCCCATGCTGCCATGGTGAAGGGGTGCTCGAACAGGGTGTGTATAGCTTCCTGGCCGCCGGCCAAACGGACTTGTTGCTCAGGAACTGGTTGAGCCTTTGAACTGGCAGGTCCCTTTTGTCCGCACCATTGACACGCCCGTCGACGCTCCGTGCAAACCACCCGTTCCCGGTCCCTGAAAACCATCGGGATTGGTGAGAAGATCCAGACTCTAATCCAGACCCGTTTCGGGTGCGACCCCATCGACTGCGGGGGGCCGAACGCGTCCAGACGCGGTCTCGTGGCTTCGTTTCGGTGTCTTCGGGAGTCGGGGACCGATCAACGCCCCCCCCCGCCCCGCAGTCGTTGGACGTACCGAACCTCGGGGGTGAGACGGCGGTGACGTACCCGAATCGTGGGATCGTGTGGCAAGTGGATTGGCTCAAGAAAGTCTATTTTTTTGGTTTCCGCATCGGTGGGTGGTTTTCTTCCTTTTGAAGAGAGGCGTAATCAGGGAAAGTAATTAGGGGTGGAGCCCAGCTGAATGGTTGTGAGTGACGGGTGGGGGATCCTGTGTTGAGTTGGTGAAAGAGTTTCCATGATGCACAGACACACATGAGGATCATAGAAGATCATCGTCAGATCAATGGAATCTAGGTGGTTCTGTCAGGATGTCGCTTTCCTGCGACTTAGCCCTAGAGGTGGGTAACAAAACGATGTAAGGTTCCATCAAGCTTGAGATTTGACGGATTCACTCAAGCAGCTGACGTATTCTTCTTGCATCAGCGCCCCTCAGTCCAACAGATGGACATCTCGAGCCGCTCAATCGCTCATCAAGTCATTCCTTTCCATCAAAACCACGCCTTAGTGACTCAGGCTAATATTTCGTGAACGTGGTGAATGAAGTTTTCCCCCATGGCTTGGGGAGTCCGTATACGTGTTTTCCTTCATTCTTTCGGATCGATGCGCCTTTTTCCCGTCCGGGTCACGGAACTTTGGGTCCGTCCGGTCCGTGGTTCTTCGCCACGTCGCGCTCGCCGCGGGTCACGTTGAAGCCGTCTCCTCCTCGCCGCGGCCGCTCCTCGCTCAAGAGCTGGATCGGAGCGACGGGGTCGACGGTCTCCACGGTCTCCACGGGTTATCCTTCGGTTTTCAGCCAACAGCAGGCGCGGGCAGGGTCAAGGGCAGGGGAGGTAGGCAGGGGAGGTAGGGGCTCAGTGATCTTTTCAGAGCGAACTGAATTGATGTGAGCGCAGTTCAGCTGTGCGCTTGCGCAAGCTGAGCGTTGTTTGAATTGCACAAGCCACACGAAGCTGAGCTTTTTTTGTTGCACAGCTTCTGAGCCCCATTTTTGCGTTTCTCTTTTTGGGCTTTGCTTTCGTCCCCTCTTTTTTGTGGTTCCAACGGATGCAGTGCGGCCGAGTACGTCTACGGTGGACTCGGGGAACACTCGATTGTTGGGGGTCTGACCCGCCGTGTTCTGTCTGAACAGCCAGAATGGGGAGGAAACGAGAACAGAAAGAAAACGGCCAGAGGTGGCCATGGTCCACCTCGCCAGTTCATTTGGTCGACCTCGCCAGTTCATTTAGCTCAATTTTGCCCAATGTTTCATGTGATTTAGCGAAGATACTCGTTCATGACCTTGCCGTTCTGGGCCGCTTTCGTGCTGGCGGTGTCGACATGGCAACCGACGGAGAACAAGCGGCTCATCGACCAAAGCAGACTAGTGCCAGTTGGAATAGACTATCTGTCGGGCAGGCAACAGTTCAAGGACTGCGGGGGGACTGGGGACTAGGAGGTCTCAGCATCAGTGGTGTGTGTTTGAATAGGTGCATCTACCAAATCATAATCTGTATATAGGTGCATCTACAAAATCATAATGTATCTATATATATATATATATAAAGACATGTATAGATATCCGATGGTTTGGAGGCTCTTTTTCAAGCACCCTTTGAGTGGTATGTCGTTGCACTTCTCCAAACCTCCCAGGTGATTTCTCGCCCGTTTTCCGCTTCGGAGACGCCACGCGGTCTCCGGCATGGCGTCGCGTCGCTGAAAACCCTCGCCAAGGAGTGTGTCTATGGTGCTTCGCGCTCCGCGTGCTACGACCGGCCGGCGAAGGAGAACTGGGACTGGTATGACGAGCAGTATGGCTGCTGCCGCAACCAGCCCGACGAGCCAGAGGTCCTATGCGGCGAGATAGAGTTCGGAAAGAACTGTTCGGGTGATGGGTGGAAGCACCTTGGGCAGAACACATGCTGTAGCCGAAGCTGGACCAAGTGTCTAGAAGCCGTGAAAGAAGACTTTTGTACGGGAGATGGCTACAAATACCTCGGCCATGGCAGGTGCTGCACCACCGCTCAAAGCTACTTTCCCTTCAGCTGCGAAAACGGACATGAGCATTTGTGCTCAGGTGATGGATGGCAGTACTTTGGAAACAACCGATGTTGTACAAAGGGTTGGGTTTCCTGCCGGCACGGTGTGAGTCAAGACTTGTGCAGTGGAGATGGGTACAAGTACCACGGGAATGGTTTGTGCTGCGTCGCCAACCCTGTGCATGATATTTTCCACCAGTGTATCGATGCAGACCAGGAGACTTGCCCAGATTCCGATGGGTGGAAATACCTTGGACCCAACCGATGTTGCCAACAGGTTCGCACGGCACGTCGTTGTTTTTCAGACGCCCGTCCGGAATCCTGTCGCCACGATGCCTTGACATTCATCGAACCAAGCACCTGCTGCACGCGTGCGGAGTCGGCGCGTCTGACGTGCGCCGTCGGAATCCACACCGTGGGCAATATCGCCCCGGCCTTTTGCCTCAGTGATGACCGGATCTTCTTGCAATCCAAATGCTGCACACAGAGTTGGGTGACATGTGCCAAAGGAACGAGCCAACGCTTCTGCAACCGGGATGGCTACCAATACCTTGGCAATGGCAAGTGCTGCACTGAAGCCTCCACGAAGGCCCTCAAAGTCACGTGCGTTGGGGGAAGCCAAGACTCTTGTGGAGGTGATGGTTGGACCTATTTGGGCACCACCAAATGTTGCACAAGGGGGTTCGCCAAGTGCATAGATGATGTGGGAGAAGAGATGTGCAGCGGTGACTTCAAGTATGTCGGCCATGGCAAGTGCTGCACCAGCTCTGCACATTACTTTGACCTCACCTGTGTGAAAGGACATGAGGATTTGTGTTTAGGTCACGGATGGAAGTATTTTGGAAACAGCAAATGTTGTACCAAGAACTGGGCCAAATGCTTACAAGCTGCAAGGGAAGATCTTTGCAGCGGCGATGGCTACAAGTATTTGGGGGATGGCGTTTGTTGCAGCACCTCTCGAAACTACTATGAGCTTACCTGCATGAGCGGAGACGAAACTACTTGCTCAGGCCCGTGGAAACTTCTGGGCGATGGCAGATGCTGCACACGCCAGTGGGCCCACTGTGTCGAAGATGTCAGTGAAGGCTTGTGCAGTGGAGACGGCTATAAGTACTTCAAGGATGGCAAGTGCTGCACCACGTCGAGCACTTACTTCGAAATCACTTGTGTCAAGGGGCAGCCAGACCTGTGCTCCGGCGATGGATGGAAGTACCTTGGAGGAAACAAGTGTTGCACCAAAGACTGGGCGAAGTGCCACAAAGGTGCCACTTCAGGCTATTGCAATCAAGATGGCTACAAGTACTTGGGCGATGGCATGTGCTGCAGCAGCTCCCAGACTCACTTTGAGCTCACTTGTGCCCAGGGCTATGAATCAGGTTGCCCAGGCACCCCAGGCGCGGCGTTCGGTGCAAAGGGGCAGCTCCAATCCCTGGTAGGTTGACCTCCCGTAGGTCGTCTCTTCTGTGACCCACCACCCCGGGTAGCCCTGAGTGGTTTCTTCTCACCACCGCATGACCCTGCTGACGCTGAGCTGTGTATTCTTCACCCACCAGCGCATGACCCCAAGGAGAAGTACTCAAGTCCGACCTCCGGGGTTCGTCGGGTTCGACCGTCCGGTGGACCGTCAGGTGATGCATGGAGATATGTAGGGCAGAGCCAATGCTGCACTCGAAGCTGGCCCCGTTGTGAGATGCGCGCGCCATCCATGTTCTGTGGCCTCAATGGCTACAAGTACCTCACCCATGGCAGCTACAAGGACTGGTCCCGGTCTCCGGTCAGCTCCACAGCGTCTGCACGTCATGACTTCATTTGCTACCGGTTCCTGGTGGGTGACAGATGCCACCGGGTGTCCCAAACCAAAGAAGTTTGGACCCGAATCCTTTGGGGTCTGAGGTCGAACCAATTTCCAGCTTTGGAGGGTCCTGTCGGGCTTTGAACAGAGCGTCTGGGTGGGAAAGACCTGGATTCCCGCCGTGAGTTGGAGGCGGTCGACGCTCCTCTCATTCCCCCCTCAAAGCGATTCCAAGAAGGACTTCACCCCGTTCTATGCCCCGTCCACCGTTCGACCTGGTCGAACAGACTGGGCTTTCTACGCGTCTTCTCTTGGGGGGATCAAAGGCCGTGTTTCTGGTCCCTAAGAAGTGCCTTGGTGGTCCGCAGCGGAGGCCTTTCGCCCCACGAAGCTGGTTGGGTGGGGAGCCCGCCCAGGAGTTGCCCTCGGGTGTGTGCTGCCTCTCCAATGCCAGCTTGGGCTATAAGAGCATCCAGTCGATTCCTACGGGTGAACACGGTGGGTCCACCAGGAGACTGGGTGGGTCCATGTGGAGTGCAAGGAAGGACAGGGTGAGTTCGGTGGGAAGTGAGTTCGGTGGCCTAACGATGCTCCAAAAAGCCATTCAGGGTGGTCTAACTTGGGATAGGGCCAAGGGTTTGTCTTGATACCTGTCGAGCCTCCGCGGTGTTTGTCTCTAAGAAGTTGATTTGGTTTCTGAGAGTTGTGTTGGAAGGGAGCGCAGTTGCAAGATCCACTTGAGCTAAGCTGAAGATTCCCTCCAGTTTCTTCTCTTTTCGCCCTCCATGTTCCGCACGACGACCGACGTTGGACTGAACACTGGACCCATGCTTTTTTTGGTCAGCAGAAGGCCTTGCAAGCAACATCCGTGATCACACTGAGAACTCTTTTTTGGCAGAAGCCCTCTTGCAGAAGCTGATAGACTGGTGGTGTAGCCCTCAGCATTTCTCGGAAGCGGCGCCTCGTCCAGTCCGTGATTTGATGAGCCGCGATGCAGGTGACAACAATCTGCCAGAATGCTCCGTCGTTTTGCGCTTTTGGTTCCCATCGATGTTCTCCAGATGGCCGGTCGTCCAGCGGTGGCCCGGGCGGCTCACCCTATTGGACCTCCCCGGTCGGTCGTCCGGGGAAAATGAACAGAACGGTCCCGGCCGTCGTCAATGCCCGCGTGCAGGAGCTACGCTGAGACAAGGACGGTGCCATGGCTGTGGCTTGCCGTGTCCAGCTTTCTCCAGCTTTCGCGCAGATAGAAAACGAATGGGTGCAGTGAAGCTGAGGAGTGAAAAGGTGCCACCCAGAGTGATGCCGAACTCCCGGTAGCAAGACATAGCACGAGCACGGCTGCAGGGGCCGGGAAAGAAGCACGGGAAATAAGCAGGGCGTGACTTTGAAGGTGGTAAGGGGGTGCATGCGCTTCTTCCGCAGACTTCTTTTCGAGGCCTTTGTTAGGGATGTGATGGTCTAGGGGGCAAAGACATCTTCCAATGGGTCATTCTTTTGCATCCTGATTGGATAGGATTTCTCTTTCTGTGTATGGTCCTGTATGGTGTCTTGGTCTTACCCTTTTTGTCTATATACTCCTTTGTTGGGAGACCCAAACTATGACTTAGGCGGACAGATTCGAAGGCGCCAAGGGTCCAGGTCAATGGTCCAGGTCATAGACAGAGCTCCCATGACCCTCTTCCTGCCGCACCACGCGGTCCACGCGCGGCGCTTCCTGCGCGGCGCGTCCTGCGTGAATGGCAGGAAACCACATGGCCGAAGGCGGGATGGTGGTGGTGTCCGGGTTCGAACCTGGCCCAAGAACTGGGTATCTTCCAGCTGAAGCAGCAAGAGGGGTGAGCTTCCATTCATCGATTTGGTCCGCACTCAATAATCGTGCCACCACCGAACAGTTTGGTCACAGATATATACCTCAGCCTTGATTGAGGCTAGCTGATCGTACCTTCCCCTGTCTGGATGTAGACAGCAGAGAGGGAAGCTATCGGACCGTGAAGCTGGGACGGACGTCAGATCGGAGGGGCGACCCCAAAAGGGGGAGACCTGACCGTGGGCGATGCCGCCAGACCCAGACATGCCGGTCAGAACCAGGAGACCGAGTCTCGGTAACACGTCAAGAGAGCGTCACAGATGAGTCGACATGTCACGGGCACCTGTCACTTTCCTGCGAGTTTCGGCACGTTTTCTTTCAGCAGAAGAGATGATTCCCAAGTTATATTCTGACGAACACAACACATGGTTACGTGGATGGCATGGCCCCCTGGAAGACCACTTTCTCTTTACAAAACAGGGGGTTGTCCGCTTTCATGTCAGTGAGTCAGAGACAGTGAAAACTCGGAGAAGATGACTTGGAGTGGCGCTGGGAACACCTTGAGATCAACAAAACTGCAGGGGTCCCAGAATGGATTTGCCAGCGAGACAGCCTCTTGAACCGCATCCCTCATTTGCCTTTACCTGTCCTATATGGATTGAGCCATCTGATCTGCAACAAACAAGCTCTCTCCGCAAAGACCTTGCTATGCACCCTGATTGGTGATTTGGAAGAAGGAATGATTTGATATATGTATATCTATATCTATATCTATATCTATATATATATATGTGATTCCTTCGGAACCACAAAGGTAGCACCAACAACCTACACAAACCTAAGGGCACCTACCCAAATCCAAGTCCCTACCAAAGCGTCCACGCTTCTTTGTGCTCAGCACCTTGAGTCCGCTCCTTGAGCCAATGATTTCATTGGCATCGTCGAAGTCTATCGTGGTCGATGCGATGTCACCGTCAGTCTGGATTCATGAGAAGGTCAGGTGGCTCTTGGTTCATCAGATTCAAATTCACACACATTATATTTCTGTTTTCGAGATGAATCCTTTGACTCCGTTGCAAGACTGCGAAAACTCTCTGCCCAACGTTCTCCATATTTTCGGTTTGCATTTGTTTTCAGAGTATTGGTCTCGTCAAAAATGCGAAACCGGCCAAGTGCCAACACCTTCCTAAGGAAACTTGCGTCCATAGGTTTTGTCAAACAGTCAGCCAGCATTATTGCTGTGGAAATCCATCGGCACTGAGCGTTTCCTTCAGCTTGTTCTTTTATTTGCATGACCTCTATTGTAGTTCTCCACTCTTGGCAGTTGGGAATAGCTAGCTTCGTGACTAAGTCATACAATGATTTGCAGTCCGTCACTAACAAGGCTTTGGGTTGATTTGCTAGTGCTTTTTCTGGCTTTTGCCCTTGAAAGAATGGATCATTCACATAACCCCACAAGCATCTCACCCATGTGAGCTTATCTAGCGAACTGGACATGGCATATGCCTCAGCACTTAAGGTTGACCTTACTACTCGAGCTATCTGTTTTGATCCCCAGGCCATAGGAGAGAACTCTGACACTTCGTTTTGTCCTAGCTTCTTTGTGGTTGCCATTACACATAGGCCTTGTTGGGCCTTCAGCTGATGTTCTGAGGCAAAGCTAGCATCTCCAAAACTTGCAAAAGTGACTTGTTCCACGGGAATTGGCTGCACTAGGATGGATGTTTCCATCGTGTTCTTGGCTTCTTTTAAGATCTTGTTTCCTTCTAGCAAGTCAGCCACTGTGGCCTTGGGAACTTTCTTTTGCAAAAATGCCACTTTGGCAGCTGAGTCTGGCCTCGAATGCACTGCAGCGTATTGTAGACTTCCACACAAAGCTCTCAATTGCTGTAATTCAAAAGGTGTCACAGTTGATTTCTCATCTTTTCTTCTTGGTTTAGGTATGTCTATCGGGTCTATCCTCTGGATGTATTCTGCTTGGCTTATCCTTATCGAATTGTCGGGATTCTGCTCAATATCAAGGCCAGTGAATCTAAATTTCTTGTATTCTTTCTGACCAAGTGGAAGATGTTTCTGGATCCTGACAAGTGCTTGCTCGAACCGTTCCGTTGCTCCTCCTATCCCATCATCAACATGTGTTCCTAGAATTCCTTCTAGTTTACTTGGATCTTTGGGATTTCTCAACATGAACAAACATGCATCAAGAGGATGAGCTTGGAACCCTTCGGCTTCGAGTTGCTTGCGAAACTCCTTGTAAAACAGTAGTGGTGCATCTACTCTTCCATATGCATTACCCTTTAGTAAGCATACCTCATTGGCTTTCAAATTCAGCATCTTTTGTAGTTCTGGAACCGGCTGCATAGCTAACTGTCTTTCATCTGCACGTCCACGAAGAAATGCAGTTTTGATATCGAAGCTTTGCAGGTTCCATCCCCGACTACTCACTTCTTGAAGTATCACCATTCGCCCATCTCTAGACAACGTAGGTGATTCAGTACTGACCGTTGCTGCATCAGGATCCTCAAATCCTCTCACTACGAGTCTAGCTTTGGCCTTTCTGCCATTGGATGACGATGGATCTGTTTTCCAGGTCAATATCCATCTTGAAGACATGATACGGCTTGGATGAATCTTGTCTCTCAGCAATGGTTCTATGGATGAAGTCTCGATCCAGCATCCTAATTCCTCCCTTTTGGCATCATCAAATTCTTGTTTTTCGGGTGGGCTCAAGTGTTTATACACTACTTCGACATGATTCTTTTTGGCTGCATTAACTATCTTTTCGACATGAAGGCATGGCTCTATGCAAAATGCGGACAAATGCCTGGTGGGAACATCGAACTCAAACATGCAAAAATCGGCATCTTCTTCTGGGATGTTTTCATTACACGGCCACAATGTTCCATTATCTTCCACTGTGACTGCGTTTGGATCATTAGCTTCTACAATGCTCACATTGTACACTTCGTTCACCAATGTAATTGAATCCCCTATTGATTCAGTTACCCCCCCTTCTTCTTGATTTTCCCCTTCAAGATTATTCCCCTGAGTTTCCTCGGACGCGATTCGTGATTCATTGATGGAAGGTTCATGCGAAACGGGTGCTTCATGGGTTGGCTCACTTGCTTGGGGTGGCTCGATGGCTGGTGGTGTCACTTCGGCTTCAGATTCTCTACGAAGAGGCTCTTCCTCTGGCTGCAATCTATTCTCAGGATTGGTGGATTCTGGATTTTCAACTTCTGTCAAGTCTGAGAACTGAAACATTCCACTTCTTTCTTTCAACTGATTTCTGAGTTGATTAGCCATTGCTTCCAACCGTTTCTCATCGCAACTCTGATGAAAAGATGCAACTTTGCTGAATTCCCTAATTGACACAGGTCGAATATTTTCCCGTGCAACCCTCAACAAGCGGTTCATTTATGTTACCCAAAGCACTGTTCGGGATTCTTCCATGATAACTTGACAGGGTCCTGTCCACCGTCCTTTCTCTAGCATATTTGGGGACTTTCGTTTATCCCAAACCATGCACAGCTCTCCACATTGCCAGGGATGCTCTTGTCCTCTAGACTGGCGATTGATAGCACGACGAATGGCCTGACTATTGTCTGCATCTAAAAGAGCCTTTCTAGCTAGAGTTCGGATTTCCATCTTTTGAAGAACATCTTCTGATCTGGTATCCATGGGATTATCCATCGAATGTGCAGTGAAGTCTTCATCTCCACAAATGGACGCAGGCAATCGACGTGATCTACCTAAGACTGCTTGTTCGGGACTGTAGCCCTTGACAATGGTCAGACTATTCTTGGCTTGAAAGCATTGGTTAAGTGCTTCATCGAATTGCTTCTCATTTTGGATTGGTTTTTCTTGATCTACACGACTCAGCATCTCCTTAATGACACCTCCATGCCTCTCTATCCGACCTCGTTGCCATGGGGCTGCACTTACAATTGTCCGGATTCCTTCCTTCTGCAAATAATCTTTCCAAGCTTGGCTGATGAACTCTCCGGCTTCATCATGTTGAATTTCAATAGGTGCACCTGCCCAATGAGTCCATGTTTCTACGAATGTCTTTATCAAGCTTTCACTGGTTCGAAGGCATCGTCTCCCTAGGTGAAAATGGCTGGCTTCGTCAAAGAAATGCAGTACCTAAAATTTTTGACCCTTTTCCCCTTTCCATTCAAACCCGTCCATGGCGATTCTCTCATTGAATTCACGTGGTTCCTTCAACTTGCCGGGAGTGGTCAGTTTGGGAGGAACCCTCTCTGCACATGACTGGCATTGATAATCTTTTGCACCTTCTACCATCCTTTCTGTAAATCCAAGTCTTTTCAAATGCTCTCCTAACCTTTCAGAAACTGGGTGTCCTAGGTTGTTGTGCATTTTCTTAATCATCATCTGTTGCTTACTATTCAGTTCCAAAAACTTGGGTCCAGAATTGATGGTTGCATTCGGTGTCCATGACGGAATTGGGGCCAAAGGTTCAGCCGGAATGGAAGATCTCTGACCTACCTCGGCTTTCGGCATCTCTTCTTGGCTGGCTTCAC